CTTTTTTCAATTAAACATACACAAACATTATTTTAAGCTAATTTGTTGAAGTCGTGACGAGCAGTCAAGAATGAGATAGTTAAAGAAACACAATTTATTTTAAGCAGTTATACATTTAAACAGTTGTTCAATATTTGATTATATAGTTTTCAACACAAGAAATCAAATAATTGCCCAATTGGTATAACTCATATATTTTATAATCGATTAAAACTAGTTTAGAAAAATTCCAGCTATGTTTTAACACTGATAGCGTTTCCTTTCATGCGTTTTCCGCGTTTTATAATTGGTGGATACTTTTGTTCTTCTCTCTTCGAATTAGCCAAGTGTTAATTGTTAGAAACAAAGGCTGGTATGAAAAAACTCTATTTCACCCTATAATTTGCCCAGCTTCGTATTAATTAAGAAATTATATTTAACAGAGCTAGAAAAGAACTTTAGAAAGAAATTAGGTTCAATTACCTCTCTTTCACATAAATGTGCCGTTTTTTAATAAACGAAACCACGATATAAAATAAACGCGTCGAACTGGTATACAACCATGAGAGGGCGTTAGGTGTACATTATATGTTCAAAGGAAATGGGACCTGTACAGTGTTTGCAGTGTGCTTTTAGCGATGTGTGAATCAAAAGGGTTTGTTTCGGACAGGGTTTTACTAAGTTTGAAAGGCTTGCTGGGTAAACCTAAGGGGACTTTAGCAACGAAACAACCATTAATAGAGGCGGGAAACAATTTTGCACTTGTTTTTGAACAAAAATTAATACTGGAATCAATTCTAGCGATTACAACTATTTTCAACGTGGTTTTCACCCATTCGTCTAATGGATATACTTTTTTAAATTATTATTTCGGAAAATATCTGCATTTTTCACGTCTCACATCAAGTGATATTAAAAAATACAACTTCATTCAGTTTTATAATAGAAATTTGAGTTATTTAAATTTTTTCCTAATATAAACAAGATACATTTTCAAAACTTTAAAATAAATATATTTGAAATTAATGTAAATATTTAAAACTCAAACGATATATTACGGATTATTCTAGTTGTTTAATTTTGTATTAAAAACTAAAGTTTATAATTTTTCTTTGAGGTTAAGTAATTATAGTTTATGAGCAAACATTATGCTTGCCTTGAGTAGATCGAAGTCACGATAGCTCAAGTGGTAGAGCAGCGGCGTATTAGCCGAAGGTCGTGGGTTCGAATCCCGCTCGTGACACTGACTTTTTCATTTAAACCAATACCTTACATAAAGATTAATTAATTGAAAGAAGTTATTTGGTTAATCGTACCACGAAATATAATGTATTATGCTTGCCATTAAATATCATATAAAACATGGGGAGCAAACATGCCATCGAACTAAACAAATTTGAAAAAAAAGTCGTAAAAACAAGTTTTTCTATTGTTACAGAAAGGTCAGAAAAGCATGTGTATACAATCCATCATTGTGGCCCATATACAGTTTGTTCTTACCTTGTAAACTACAAAGAATGTAGCACGATAAGAGGAAATTCATAAAAAAGCCGTTGATGTACTGTCCATTGTTTAACCATAATGGCCAAACCTGCATGATCTGCTTATAAACTCGTAAAACAGCTCATAATTTCAAATTTTAAACGGTAAAAAAATGTTAACGTCTCCTAAATGGGCATGTTGCGGAATAAACAACTCCTTCGTTGTCAGAGGTGCGATCAAGATAGATTAGCGAGCAGAAGAAATATGTTGGGAAAAAGGTGAATGAAGATAAATTGACCACTGCAATTTCACCTCCTTCTATGTGCGTTTAATACGGTCCAGCGTACACTCCGGATTATTTTTTCATTTTGGTAAATTTAACGCTTCTCGGAGAAAAAACGTGCTTTCTCACTTCTTTATTATCACGGATGATTCGATATGACTTTTATATATTTTGAATATAAATTATAAAAAAATGTAAAATTCAAAAATTATGATTTAACTGCGTGAATGGAAATTTCTTCAATGGTTTATTTTGTCAATTCTCCAGATAAAATTCCTGCACAATAGATTATTTTTTAAACATTACTTACGTTTCAAAATATCAGTGTATTCTTTTAACGATAATTATTTCAAATTAGTTACAATAAAACTTTTCATTTTAAATAAAATGTACGTTCTATGCAATAAAACACTCAATATCATTGCATTTACCATTATTTAAAGATCATGAGATGTGGTCTGGTGTGACGTAGGTTTCAGAAAAACATTTTCTTTATCGTGCCAACGTTTCGATCTTTATTGAGATCATCTTCAGGGCCTGGGATTTATAAACATTGTTTAAATTAATTTTTTCACATCCTACATATAATTGTATAGTTTAAACAATTTATATAAATCATTATTTTATAGAAAATTTATTGACTAGTCAACCTAATTATTTTACATTAATGGACCTTATCCATGTGGAATAAATTATTACAATTAAGGACTATTATTTGAAAACAAGAAAAATATCAGGCCTAAGATTTATAAACATTGTTTAAGTTGTACAAATACATGAAAGATGTGAAAAATAATAATTTGAATAATGTTTATAAATCCCAGGCACTGAAGATGGTCTCAAAAAGATCGTAACGTTGGTGCGATAAAGAAAATGTTTTTTTAAACTTACGTCAATCAGTCTTGTATGAACCTTTGAGCAGTCAACATCATCTTGTTATCTCTCCAAAGGATTAACTCGACTATTTCTCTCTACTTTCTCTCAAGGAGTATTTAAGTTATTTCTAGTATTTTTTTTCTTTCCAATTTTGTCCTTCTATTGTTTTTTATATATATTTTCTTAACTTTTCATTATTTTTTTTCCTTTTTCTCATTTTAAACACAACTGTAGTGAAGTTGCAAAACATGAATGAAATGGACTCTTCGCTCGAAGCGAAACCACCTGACCCACCAAACAACCTAAAAATAATGGGAAAGTGGTGAAGAAAATTCTTAGTTATGTCCCTAGAATCTGAAAAGGACATTTCTTTCAATAATTTCTGCCCATTTAAAGTATGCAGGTTTATAAAAAGTTATGCTCCTAAAATTGGCTTAATATTTCTCCGGAATGGAACTATCCTTCTTAACTTGTAAATCTCTTATCACTATAATTCACATTTTAATTGACTGCCCCTTATATTCCTCTGCTAGATCCCACTACCAAATCCCCAACAATATACATATTTTTCTGAACAATAATTCACCTTACATAGATTACATATTAAACTTGCTGGCTAAAACGAAACTAATAAATAAAATTTAGTTATACAATTGCTCCCATTGGGTGAACCCCATGTCGGTGATTGCGGCGGGGCTCGCGGTCGGGGTCGGACCCTCGGGGTCCTCGGTTGCGGGCCGGTCCGGGGCTGGGTTAGGGGGCCACTCAGGACTCTGGGATCCAGATATCCACGGTGAGCTTGAGGAGGTGTCGTTGGTGACTGGACACCGACCCCTCCTCGAATTATCACTGCGCGACAGGGTCCAAATTTTAAAAATCGCGAAAGATCCTGTTGGCTCCACTGTCTAGCCCTTGGGCCGGTCTGGTGCCGGGTGCTGCGGGGCTCGGCGATGCCACCGGCGCACTGTCTCATGGCCTAAATGACCAGTAGGGTCGCTGCCTTTAAAAGAAAAAAAATCTTACGTCACACCAGACCGCATCTCACGATCTCCGAGTAATCATCAAGTAAGATCACTAAACACCACACATTGTATTTAAGCATTAATCCACTACTTTGTATTAGACAAAAAAAGAACAATAAAAAAAGGGGAACACAATGATAAGCCAATACAGGGTCATAGCTAATTATTTTTGAAAATTTAACAGCAATTTTTATTACGTTCTTAGTATTATTATAAGAAACATTACCGATACCAATTACTTTATTAATGAGAATTTAGAAAAATAAAGGGAAAATATTTTTCTTATATTGTTAAAAACGTCAAGTACCAAGAAAAGCCACAGTCTTAAAAATAATATGGGCAGGACTTCAAACAATAGTTTGTAGGTCTTATCCCAAAAATGTTATTGTGCCCATGTTATATCTCTTATCTTTTTTGCACTCTCTCCTTTTATACCAATTTTGTTTTATCGTATAACGTAGATTGTGAAATTTATGATACGTTTCTGGTTTAATAATAGTAAATAATAGCCCTTAATTGTAATAATTTATTCCACATGGTCAAGGGTCCATTAATGTCAAATAAATAGCTTGACTAGGCAATAAATTTCCTTTAATATTAGTAAATTGGGTTTGTAAATTATATATGTTTTATTCTTCCCTGTTCGATTTATCTCTTTTCTATTTCTCACAAATTCTATCTCATTCTTTCCTTCACTCGTACTCCCTCTCAATAGCTCTCTCTCATTTGCTCTATTTAGGTATCTATTTCTATTATTAGGTATTTCCCGCTTTTTTCTCTCCATTGTTATACGAATTTATATACCTAATATTTCTTATGCCACATTTCTCTTGTTCACTCGGGTTCTCTTTCTCTTCCTCACTGTCTACCTATCTCTTTCCTTCCTCTCTTTTTTTTCTCTCTCCCTCATTTCCTCTTTCTATCTACAAAAATAAAATAGTTCCTGTCATAAAGGTGGGCTTAATATCCAACTACCCGTTGGGAATCGCTCACGAAGGTTTATACCGCTTTGCAATACTTTCTCCATATTGTAAACAATTAAAAATCCATGGGTTAGGCAGGGATTCGACCACGTTCGAGTCGGATGCCTATTTCTATACACTTATAGTGATTTCTTTCGTTTTTTTCGCAATTTACATATTTATTATTTCTCTTTAACTCTCTTATCCTACATTTCTTATTCGTCCGATTCTCTCCTTCACCACTCTCTCTCTCTCTCTCTCTCTCTCTCTCTCTCTCCCTCCCTCCCTCTCTCTCTCTCTCTCTCTCTCTCTCTCTCAGAAATAATAAATAAAATTATATGTTTATTTATTTAAATATAGTTATGTGTGCTAAATTTGTACATATTTTTGTTTAAGGCGGACGTTCTGAGCTCTGGAGGAAGATCGACCCCGATAACAGGAGTGTCAACCCCTCCGCTCTGGAGGTCATCTCAGCAGCATCGTCAGTCAACACCATCACTCCAGTCCACGAGTTTACAATGCAGGTGGGATTTTAATATTGTAAAACGCCCAGCCTAATGGCCGTTTAATCATTCAAGGGGCCCGTTAGTAAAGCAGCGGCATGAAAGATAAAGCGGTGGAAGACCGCTCCTTCTCTGTACGAAGTAAAGGACGGGTCTGGTCTACCGCGGCTGCATTATGAAAAGCCAATTTCCCGGAAAACATGTTTTGTCCTCGTGACCTAGGTGATTCATACTCTTACCTTTCTTATTGGGCAGGATGGTACTGGTATACGGGTGGCTTTGAAATAAAACTCTTTTTATATTCCCCTCCCACGGTCAATCCTTTGCCTTTTTACTCCACCCTCGACATCCGCAAAGCTCCTGTATTTTCTGTTATGAGAAATTACTTTTATATAAATGTATATATAAAATATATATTTATATATAAATTTACCATACAAATGTCTTTTTCCCACAAGTTTGAAGAAATAAAATATACATTTAGAGTCATAAAGAAAACGTATAAACTGTAAACGTTATACATATTATTTACGCACAGTTGACGCAAGAAAATATTGGTTGTACAAATAGTGTTAGAATTTTATATGTCAAACATTTTTGCCAACTCTACGTATTTAATTTATTAACAAAGTATTAAAACTGCTGCTAGTTAATGAATGAGGTACTCCCAAAATTTTAGATACATTTTATTGGATAGTTATTACGGCTTTTTGTCAAAAAAAGTAAAAATTAAAAACATACTTTTAAAACTGGGTCATTTGACTAAAATAGAATGTAATGTTTATTAAAGCTTCAATTATTGTTTAAATTGAGTGAGCCCTTATGAAAAGAAAACAACGCCTGACATTTACATGCAAACCAAAAGAATGATTGAAAATTTGATTTTAATTTTTAGTAACTAGTTGAATTGTTTCGCTAACTTCTGATTAAGTTTAGGAATAGGGTTTATCAGGTTTAGAAATCGTCTTAAGGATGACATCGTAGGATTAAACTTCAGATAAACAAAAAAATCCGAAGTTCAGAAAATCATACAATCATTTTATGACATATGAGCCGAAAACTTACGACATAGAAGAAGAATATGATAAATTTTATAAATAACTCCTATCGAAGATGAAATCAAATAAACAAAAACGGTCAATGTGAATATATTTCTAGAAAATTTCAACTCACAAATTGCCCATAGAAATATAAACGAAAACGTTATCATTGGAAATGATTGGTATAAGAAAACCACCAGAGGCTGAAAGGTAATTAATTTCTATGAAGAGATGGATTTAAAAATAATAAACATTTTCCAAAAGAAGATAAATGTTTATGGGTATCAAAATGTTATATCCCTGTTATTTTCATTAGGTACTTAACGGTTGATGAAATCAAACATGGTCCATCGAGATTAAACAATAACTTCATTTGATGCAATAATGTTTAAGCAACATGTTGGCAGGTGGTGTAAAAAAAATAAATAAATCGGATCGCCTCCTTTGAGAAAAAAGTGACTAGGTGATAAATCCAACCTGGTATTATAGGAAGAAGAAAAATGAACACGGTTCTTTACGAGTTTTCCAGCCTTGAAGAAAAAAAAAAACAACCACTTTAAGCTCAACCAGGCGGAAAGCGGAAAGTTAGATGTTACGACAACCTTAAAAAGCCGTTAAGTTTCGAGAGCGTAGATGAAAAAATTCCCCGTGTGTATTTCCAGTTGATCGGCTTTCTATATTTTAGTTTAAAATATATGAAACATAATTGTATGCACAAGGTCATATTTCACTATGGCTCGTCATGCGAATTACATTGAAAACAACAACTTTTGACTAATTAAAAATATTTAACGCAAGTATTTAAATGACCAAAAATTAACTATAAATTAACTTTAACAGTAACTAATCTTTATGTAACGTATTGGTTGAGTTATAAAAGTCAGTGTCACGAGCGGGATTCGAGCCCACGACCTTCGGCTTGATACGCCGCTACTCTATCATTTGAGCTATCGTGATTTCGATCCACTCGGTCACCAACTCCCCATCTCAACTCCATCTTTCGGATTTTCCCTCCTTTGTGCCATTTTTCAAATGTCGTGTAATCTATTCGATTCTCAGATAAATTATTATTTTTTTTAAAAAGATTAATTAATTGAAAGATGTTATATGGTCAATCGGACCACAAAATCTAATGGATTTAGCAGTAACAATAAATATTTTGTATCTTCAGTAAAATAATATTGACACTGATTCAAAGTCCTAAAAAGTATTTATTGGGTTGTCCGGAAAATAATGCAGGATTTTGGTATTAAACAAAAAAAAAGAAACTAGTTACTTTAAAGCAATGTTCTTTAATCAAAATAATTTCCCATACNTAATCCTGTAAACGTAAACAGAATATTTTATATAGATTTTTTTTAATGAAAACTTAAAATCCTGCATTATTTTCCGGACAACCCGATATATACAATAGTAGGAACATCATAAAATAAATTTCAGTTTATTTTTAGTAAGTACCATTGTCAACAATAAGATTATTTAGCATGTACCTTACCACTAAAATTTGTTTATATTAAAAACTTCTTATTACAAAATTTACTTAAATTTAAATTAGTTTTAACAAAATAAACACAATTTAAATATTGCTTTCTAAATTTAAACATAAAGTTTTAATTGATCGGACTTTATTCTTTATTTCGGTTTTCTAAAACATATAACATAATATATAATAAAATATAATTTCCCTATGTAAATATAGTTCATCTAGCTATAATAAAAATGTACCTATTTCTTTTAAAAGTAAAAAAGCGTGTCACCAAAAATTCCTTGCGCGTTGAATGACAAAATAAGGCTGTATTTGTATTAAAATAAGAAAAATCAACGCTATTAAAAATATATGATTACATGAATAAACCATAACGTAGGAGGAGTGTATAAATAATGTTATTACAATACATTTCAACTTGGGTGATGAAAACTGTTTAAAATACATATACGACCGGGTATCAGTAGAATAAATAGATATTACTGTATTGTTAAGCAAGAAGAGAAGATATAGACAAATCGGAACCCAGCGATCAGAAATCAAATTCGGCCACACGGCATGGCATTAACTCCTGGCGACTAGGAAGCACCAGTGGGAAAACGAATCCATCTGAACACCACCCTTATTGCTTTTTCCAATTCTGAAAAAATCGTGAATCGCTTCCTGTTTAACACACGAGATCCTCAAAAGGAAAAACTTAACCAATTGTGCTCTTAATTTAGAAAATTGCTGTAATTACTACCATCTTATAATTACACTTACCACTGATAATTACTTTCATGTTTTACACATTTCTAAGATCATCACAACAGAAAAACATAATTTATAATACTCTCAAGTACAGTATTGATTTGTTTAAAAAATTAAGTAAACGTTTTTTGTTTACACTTAACACTCCCAAGCCGTTTACGTTTAATATGCACATATGTCAACTAATGAATATTTGTACATGTACATAAAACAGTTATATTTAACTAATAATTTATACAAAATAATTCTACCTTAAACAAAACGTTGACAATAATTTGAACGAAATCGATTATAAATTGAATATGTGGATATGTCCGGTGACTTTCATAGTCTAAAAATACATCGAGGAATTTTATACTTTTCCGTGAAGTAAAAAAAAAGTACGAGTTCGCTTTGGCTCTCCTCGAAAAATGAAAACCACGAAGTACAAATTTCTGCTGAGAAAGGCGGTTGGATATATTAAAACCCCACATGACGGGTCGGTCGTGTTGGTTTAAGATAGCGAAGCGCCGTACTAGCGATTACTCCACTTACGTTTTTTACTGTAATTAATTATTTAATTGGATTAAGTAAATTTTATGCACTATCAGAGGAAGAAAAATTACGAAAATGTTCTGTAAATTTAACTACCATAAATAAATTAGAATTGAAAATATAAATTAGTACAGTTGAGATGTTTTGTTCAATTCATCCATACTATTTCACGTAAAAGACGTTTCGCACAAAAAATCAAAACTTGGTTGACAAAGACTAAAAAATTTAGGTTTAGAAAGTTTTAATAAAGTTGAACATGGATAAAATTATGAAGTTTTAAGTGTATGACTGCGCATCGGCGAGAGGAAGTATCATTATTATACTGCCGTATAAAGACATCCAAAAAGCAAAAGTTGTTGACATAAGCTCAGTGAAAATAAATGGTGGACGATTGTAGTACCGTGGACACTGATTAAAATCTAGAGGAGTCATAAATTTTAAGTTTAAAACGAAAGAACAAAGAAAACAAAATGCCCACTTCTGAATCAGTCCAATAAAGTCTGTTTTTGGTTTCTATAAAAAATAATTCTTAAGTACTACAAAGTGTGGTTATAACGAATTCGTATTGATCTGACTAATTTTGCTGGAAGTCCGTTTTGGTTTGCTTTAACTTTTTACAGTTCTTATCTCATTTAATATAATCCGGTCTTTCTTATCTTAAGACAAAAAAATAACAATTTGACTGATATATTTTTACCTTAAAATATATGCAAGAAAGACCAAAAACCTATATTTAAAGAAATTATGTAAATTAATTAATTTTTTCTCAAATAAGGACGCTCGGATAGGAGTCTAATAATGTTGTATTAGACAACATTATCATATAAAATTAGAATTAGAATCGGAAATTCCATGTCAGTATTGCGCCCACGTTAGTAAAAATGAATACATTTTAATATTTTATTAGACCATTTCAATAGAAGTAAGTAAAATTATAATTTTTTCAAAGTTACCAATAACAGAATATTAGCGAATGTGACTCCGCAAATTCCGGCGTCGGCAGGAGTGTGGTTGGGATAAAAATACTGATGTAACCCAGGCTGTCACCAGGAAACTAATGCGCATTTCCGAATGCGAAGGGCCGATGTACCCAGAGGGCAGCCATTTGCTTCCTGTAATTTTTCATCTTATGTTTTTTAGACGTAAATATATGTAAATGTACATTTCATGTGTACTGGCGGATAACGAAAAACAATAAATAGTAAAATGTA